TCGTGGTGCTGATCGGCTTTCCCGACCACTGGCCATCTACCAACACAACTTCTGCACCAGTATCTACCGCCTCGGTACAGCTGCATTACGCTAGTATCAGATTGGCAGTGCACGAATTATTCCGTCAGAAGCCATGCTCTCTCTATCCGAGATGGGTAAATTCTTCCAAGGAGAACCTTGGCACATTGGTAACATGGGCTTCCATGACCTCTGAAAGCACCGGTAGAGGGGTTATCAGACGGTACCTGGTTGGAACAGAAAGAGTACCTCGCTGGTGAATTGAAGTTATTATACCGTGTTTTCCCGTTGCTGGAGGGGGCAGGGTGCACGGTCCTTGTGGCCGTGTTAGGCTCGAAGAGTGCTTCCATGCTCTCAGTGTGGAGCGGACCACGGTCCAACAACCGGCTTGTGTGCGATTGATTCCCCACATACAGTGTGCTTGTGTTTGCCTGTGAAGGAGTGTGGGCCGGCTCCGTTGATGAAACGTGGCTCCCATCCACATGCCTCCCGGTCTTATTCCTTCGGGTTTACACTGGATATGGGGTGCGTGGTTGGAGCTGTGGGTGGTGCAGCGCAAGCCACCCATGATCCCTCTGTAGGCGCAGGCGTTCTGTGGCTGGTCACAGTGACAGGCAAATTCGAAACCGGATGCCGTCAACCATTATACATATATATCTTTCGCCAAAACAACCTTAGAAGCAGCGAACCAAAGGTACAGCTAAGCTCTCTTCTCAAGTGACTTCGGGTGAATATTATCAACTCCAAGAGGATAGGTATATTCATACATACATTTTCAGCAGTTTCTGACGTAGATGATATATGAGTGAGCTGTGGTGGGGGGACAACACCTGAGATAGGATTAATTGGCCAATGGACAAGCCAAAATATTGGAGCATTTTGCAGTTGCAGAGCATCTGCGGTAACCTTCGTGGTCAGTGTTAGTCTATCCGCTGTTTGAAATGAAGGAAATCCCCGCTTCAACTTAAGCAGGCTGTTTACATTTTACTATAACAGTATGCGGTTTGAAACTGTGCGCACTGCCAGACTCGGTTGGAATGTTATTTTATTCACGCGGACAAGTCGATTACACTGGTTACGTTAAATTACATAGGTCATCTAGATCTACATGCTCAGAGAGATCCCTACAGATATCCAGGCCGATTTCCGCACCCCTATACACCTGCGTATCTTGCTTCGTACAAACTAGACCACGTTTCTCGAGTGAACAGCCTTAGTTTCCAGTGTTTCCGCAAACGAAGTGCCAGGATGGTCGACGGAATGTTGCAACGCAATAGCCAGTGATTCGTCCACCGGGGAGGTCAAGTTGGGTGTTACATCAAGTCGAGCCAGTGTGTCGCAGTGCATAATAGTTCGCGTTACCCCGTAGTTTCCACGGGGTAGTCTACATAACAGATGTGTTCGAAGAGTAAAATTACATGGTCACTGCGGCCCAGATGGACCTCGACGAGCACTCTCGCGATTATGAGTTCTTGTTTGTGGAAATTCGGTCTAGTATAGACGGTAGGCTAGTAGTTCCGAATAGCTTCATCACCTTTAGTGGTCGAATCCGGTCGCAAATGTTGCATCATCTATGTAGACGAGTGAATATCCGCTGGTCAGGCAAGGAGTAAGATGTACAAAACCGCAGCGGGGCAAATATTACATAAAGATAAAGAGACTTGGACTTTTCATGCTTAAGATATGGTGAAATTGTTTATCTTTCATCGCTGGTGTTCGTGATGTATCGCTCATACCCGACGTAATCACCAAAGTAATGCTGGATAGCTTGTTGGACTAATGCTGGGCATGGTTGTTAGCTTGTGCTCTTCGATGAATGGTTGGTGGCGCACCATATTTCGCGTTGCATACTAAACCCTTACGATATTACGTGAAGCGTCAAGGCGATCAGATGAAAAGGTGATGAAAATTCAAGGAACTAGGCGAAAGATTTTCTTCCGCTTGTGAATGCCCCCTCCCTGGACGCGGGCTGCTGGGTAGAGTACAACATGGACAAGGTATTCGCGAAACCAGCGATAATTTCGGCAATCTTTCGCAACATGTTTATAACGAATTCAACAGATGTAACAGAATTTCGGGTTTATCTGATGCCTACTATTGACTCCTATTTGCTACCATTGCAAATTATGTCAAGTGGATTCAACATGCTTTGCTGCACAGACCATTTTAATTGTCTGAGTAACACAGACCCCTAACTCATTTAAAAAGCCGAAATGAGGTTACCACATCATGTAAGTTTCCTAGGTGATGAGGTCGTTGATACGTGAACTAATAAGTCTAATTCAGTTGAACGACTATGATCCAGGCACCAAGCGTGGGGGATCCAGTAGCCACGACTCATGCCACCAGAAAAAACTTAAATAATGACGGCAAGAAAATGAAGTTGGGGGCAAATGGAATGTAAAGAAAACGGAATTCAAAAAGTACTGCGTTAAACTTTCGTTGGTAGAATGAAAATTAACGGCTAGCTAGAATGAACCGAATTCAGGAGCGTTAATGACTGCGCGACTGCGCTTTGCCCTATGGAGTCTCCGTTCATTGGTGTGGACTATCCCGAGGCCCACAGTTACGAAGATGGCACGCACCTGTCCGACCAAGTTTCTCAGTCGATTCCCTCAAGCCCTTATGTCACGTCATCGACTGGCCACCTCGCGGTTTCGCTTAAATTGACGCAGCCACGGTGTACAATGCACGCCGAGAAAGTCTGCTAACGGTTTTCACGGAGGACATGACCTAACCAGCGTAAGCGATTAAGAGTTAGCAAACACTTGAGTGAGACACCAGAAGGCTTCTTTCTAAAAGACAACTGGCGGACCGCAACACTTCTCACTCGGTGTCCACACTATAAGTACCAGTGATCTAACACGCCTAACCGCCTAATGTCTTCACCGATCAAGTCTCTGATCTACAAAGTAATACCGACCTTATTTCACTGAAAAGCTGATATCCCACCGTCTTCATAGATGGTTGAGCCTCTAAATTGTCACACGATCCCTTCTGATACACTTCCACATTGACGTGACAACCATTATTGAAACGGCTACCAAGATAAGTGAACTAATCCCCCACTTTCTGTTGCTGTTCGCTGATAGCTAGAACCGGTGTCTGGCCGGACCAATCTTGCAATAGCACTTTGCACAAACAAGTTGTAAAGCACAATCCTAGGCGTGTAGCATTAAGCGTTAGTCTATTTAGTGGTGTCGGCCGGTGGCCGAGTGGTCTGCACGTTTGCTTTGCAACCATAAGGTCACCGGTTCGACTCCGCGTAGGGGTGGGCGTCCTCGCGGTATACTCAGCCCGCGCGCGACTGGTGGTGGTCGCGCGGCAGCGAAGCGCCGTTACGGCGTATAAGCTGACACATTTCATTTTTCTATTTAGTGGTGCCTGGATAGCCCCTGTATCTGAACAAGGAGAGCTGTGTTATCCGCAAACAAAGTTTGTGGGTCGGTCACCTGGCAGATTCACTACATCGAACAAGGTTGACAGGATAGCATCATTTATGATCATTTCATAACGAAGGTGAAGTGGGAAGGAAATATAAGACAACTCTGGTGAACCCGTGGGGAGCTCATCAGACAGCTTCCCGTGAAGCCTTAGTTGAATTATGGTAAAGAGGTCATAGAGTAAACAATAATTCATATGGCATGCCTCCATGGATAGGCAGTGCCACAAGCTGGCTCAATCAACATAATCGAATGCAGCTTTCAGATCGGGGAAAACCACTATAGTCGATCATCTGTGGGTGTGACGATGCTGCAACATTTTACGAAAAGTAAATATGTGAGTAATGGAGAGTTCGTCGCAGCGGCTTCTAAATCAGATAGCTCTCCATGTGTTTCACTCATGAGTATATCAAATATTCGCCCTGACAGGTTCTACATGATATGTCGTACATAACTAATGTCAGTGGAAGTTGTGTCATTCGAGGTCAACCCTGTCCTCCGCAACGTTGGTTACTTGCATGGCAGTGGGAGACAACATGCATTAAATCGCAATAAGCTTGTAAATCATAATAGTTACTGCTGAGCCTCATGACTTAGTATCATAAGCTGCTGGCTGGTATATGAAGCCGCTGGTGGCCATGGGTTCGAATCCTGAAGGATCCGATGGATGCGCACAAATAATGAGGCCAAAAAAGTCGAAACTGTAGTCTAGTGCTCTTCCGGCACTTTGGTCCAGGTTTACTGAACCTCTTCCAAAGTGGAAAGTAATACAACAACTTCTTACGTATGCTCAGGTAATTTAGTAAACGATAATGTCGCAGTAAATGTATAGCAGCAGAGAGACAAGGATGTCCTGAAGGCAATAGTGCGTATAAAATATTAACAAACCTAGTAAATAGGTCAAAGGATTGATAAAATGATAGTTTGGAGTCCGTTTAAGATAAAGAAAACAAGTGGACGATTCCAGCGCACTTAGTCTTTTATTGGCAGGTGTCTATGCTTTTAGTTGATGACACCTACCTTTTATCGATTCATTTCTGTAAAACCCTTCCCACGACTAGCCGGTGTTAACTTCGTTAAGTGAGATAAAATAAAGTGAGATAAAATAACCGGACTATCAGCGTGGCAACACATGGTCATGATTGACTTCGAGATTGCCTCACTATTAGGCACCAGCACGACTTAGGAAAGCCCGCAATGTTTAATAAGAGTTAAAAGGATCAGACGAAAGTTCATACCGGGGCTGAGGTAGGTCTAAACGATCGCTCCCGATAGGGATGCTCAAACAAATGCAAAGAAAACAAGTGGACTATACAGAAGCGAGTGGCAGGAAAAATACTGACGCGAAGCATGAATATACCCTGCCTGATAACATATAAAGTGGATCACCCAGAGTTTTGGGCAACTCTGTTAATAGACAGCTGGTGGAGTGAAGGGGTTGGTGGTCGGTCATGAACGTCAGTTTTTGGAAAGCCAAAGTATTAGAAGAGGTAAAAAGGGGTCAAAAATGTAGGGCAAGGCTAAAAATATTTGACTTACCCTTTCCAAACCCATCTTGGGTTAAGTTCACAGTGGATAAGTGTTTCAAGGAGAGAGTTAGTAAAGTGACGAGATTATCTGCTGTAACACGCCAAAGCAATTAACAAAATATTTTTACCGGAAACCAATGCAATGTGAGACCTTTCGGGAGAAAAGGAAGCGAACTCGATTGCTTGAGTGATGGAAAACGAATCGAGAACCTAATCAATAATAACTATCAAATAAAGGACACAGACAGTGTCGTCGCTGTACCGCCAAAGCAGAATGCCGAAACGAAATACAATATACACAGTAGAGTGTTCGTATGATTTGCATAGAATTATTTGTCCAAAACTATTGTCTGATCTGAAGTAGTAAGACTGAATTCCATGATCATGAATAAAAAAACAAACCCCGTTTCTATCGAGAACAACCAATTTTTGCTCGGATGAGATTGCAACAACTCCCGTCAATTCATCCACTGAAACACAGCAAGCATTTTCACAAGCGGTGAAGATATTCTTTTGATGGAATAGACTCAAGTTTTTCATTTTTATGTAAATGGTGTAAAGCACCGCGCTAAAATGAAGAATTCCAGAGTTAACAAAAGCACTGTAGTATGAAGAAAGATTAAGCATCACGTAAAAGAGTTTAAGTACTGATACCAGGCTCATGAGCGTGGGCAACAACGTTCCACATAAGAAATGAAGGGCTCGAAATGAAGGGGTGGGGAAGAGCAAGACTTTTCAAGGACTGCTAAAATTAGGGTCCCGTCAAATATCCGGTAATATAGTGGTGAAAAGAAAAATGCTGATAAAATACCGCTTTAATATCAACCAAAAGCTACATCAAGCTCAAAAGTCCCTTTTCATTTCCGATACATTTTCAATCGCTTTTAATGCTAGATAAGCGTTTGAAACATTAAATGAATCTGATGTGCGCTGTCTTCGAGGTAGTCACGTAAACTAATTAAAGTAGCGACCATTGCTTTAAATTCCCCCGCCAAATATTTGATATACCTCAGCGGTAACCTGATGATATCTAGAGAAAGCACATCGAAGGGATATGCAAACATCATCGTTGGCCTTTACAGTTGATCTGCATGTAATGTTGCTTATGAAATCAAGCGACTTGACAAAAACAAGATCCGAGGGAGACGGCGTCTGGTTGCTCATCTATCTAGTCGGGGGGTCCAGGAAATGATACAAAGGAAGTTGCAAGCTTAGCTCCAGGAGATGTTAACCAAAGGTGCCCGTCACCAAATCGCAAGACAGAATAGCATAAGAGACCACAGCAAGCTTGAAGTCCCAGTTACCAGACACCTAGTGGCAGCCTGAGTAAGAATAAACTCTATCCTTGGAGACCGCGTCAGGGTCTACGGTGACTTATGGGATATCTTTCCAACAACAAGTGATGTTCGTCAAGGTTGTCCAATCTCACCAGTTTTGTTCAATTTCGTAGTGAAGTGCAGCATGTAGTGTTCCCTTGCGGAGCCTCGCGATGCAATGTTGAGCAGGCTATCTGGTAAAAGGCTAGTTGATCTTCAGTATGCCTGTCTTGATTTTTAACGATGTTGGGGAGGCGCAACCAACTATGAGTAACCGCTCTAGAGTGGTTTTATCGTCTGCAATGCGCTTCGCCACTTCAAAATGCAGTGTTGTTGCAGGACCACCAGCCACTTGATGATCCCTTGACACTTGATAACGAGGAACTCGAGGCAGTTGGTTAATTTGCTTATCTTAGAAGCTGAATCAGCAACGATGGACGCATAAGCACTGAGGTCAGTACACGGATTGCGAAAGCCAGAACTACCTTCTTGAATCTGCGACATATATGTGACAGGAAGGAGTTTCTCACCGTCTAATAGGCCGTGTTTACAAGTCCAAAGTGAGGGCCGTCCAACTCTATGGGAGTGAAACATCAACCCTACTATTTGAGGATCTGAGGCGCCCTCAAGTCTTTGATCATTGTAATCTTCTGAGTATTGCTGGTGTAGGATGTCATCAGCGTGTCCGCAATAATGATGTACGTAGGCAAGTGATAGGCAGTGATAAGCAGCCAGCTCCTTAGAACATCATGAATCATCATCATGAACAGCAGTACATCAGCCATTTGAACTGATGCTTCGCTGCCATACAACCATGAGGACCTATGAAAAAAGAATAAGAAGAGGGAGAGAAGGGGAACTTACCTGAAAACCTTAATGCCCTAAGCAAACATTCAGGGTCAAGGCGCCTACACCTTGTGTAGACAACATACCGTCACAAACAGCTGGCTATCGTGCAAAGATAAGGCGGCATCGGCGAGACAACTTCCTTTCGGCTTTCACTGCCACGCGTCATAATCAGCCATTACCCCGCAGATAACTCAGCACCAAACATACTTTAAACAGGCAATCCGATTAGAAGACGGCAGCAGACGCGCCACTGGTGTCGGTTGCGAGCCATGTCCTGTAAAGTCTCGAGCCAAGCACAAGGTGAGTCACGTGGACTCCAACCCGGAAGGCGAGACGGACCAACGGCACCCAGTTTGGTCGTCAGTGACTTCATTTCCCGCTGCCAAGTCAACTTCTGTCCACCTCGAGCCTTGCGCCATCCTACACCTGGTAGACTGAACAAGGCCCTCATAGGTAAGCGGTGACCAGGCATGCGTAGCACGTGCCCGAGCCAACGCAACTTATTCAGTGCTATCTGTTGTTCTAGGATGCTAGCATCATTATCACTACCTAGTACTCGCCTACGCACATCATCGTTGCGGACACGCTGGTGCCATCCGACACCAGCAATGCTTCGCAAACAACGATGATCAAAGACTTGAAGGCGCCTCAGATCTTCAGACCGAAGGGGCCAAGTCTCACTATCATACAGCAGAACGGCCCTCACTGTGGCCTTGTATACACGGCCTTTCAGACGGAGAGAAACTCCCTTCTGTCGCCAAAGATGACGCAGGTTCAAGAAGGCAGCTCTGGCCTTTGCAATGCGTGAGCTCACGTCAGTTTCTATGCGCCCATCATTGCTGATGCAGCTGCCAAGATAAGTGAAATGATCAACCACCTCGAGTTCCTCGTTAGCAAGCGTCAAGGGGTCATCGAGTGGCTGGTGGTCCTGCAGCAACACTTTGCACTTTGAAGGTGCGAAGTGCATACCAAATAATGGGACCACTCTGGATAGGCTATTCAGGGGTGATTGTGCCGCCTCAACATTGTCGAAAAGCAAGACGATATCGTCCGCATAATCTAGATCAACTAACCGTTCACCAGACAGCACTTCAACACCTACATCGTGAGATTCCGCAAGGGAACACTCCATGATAGAATCCATGACGAAATTGAACAAAAACGGGGAAATCGGACAACCCTGACGAACGCCACTTGTAGTCGAAAAGCTGTCCGATAGGACACCATAGACCCTGACGCGGCCTGTAGTGTTCGAGTATAGAGCACGAAGGATGTTCACATATTTCGTGGGAACACCTTTTCGCGCAAGTAATTCGAACAGAATCGATCGATCGACCGAATCGAACGCACTCTTGAAATCGAGGAACACAGCTATTGTCGGTCTGCGGTATGCGTGGCGCTGCTCTAGCACCTGCCGCAAAGTAAATATATGGTCTATACAGCCACGTCCTGGGCGAAAACCTGCCTGCTCTTCCCTAATCCGAAATTCCCGTTCTGCAGTGAGGCGACGAACGATAATCGAGGCCAGTAATTTTGTCACAACTGGCGTTAGGCTAATACCCCTGTGGTTCGCACAGTCTGTGCGACTGCACTTCTTGTATATTGCCACTATAATCGATTCGCTCCAATTAGCCGGCACAATCTCTTCGTTACAGATACGTTCGAATAGGGAGGTCAGTGCTTTGCAGAGGACCTCACCTCCATCCTTAAATAGTGCAGGTGGGAGGGAATCCGGGCCAGCCGCACGAAGACGATTGAGGGATGTGATCGCGTTTCGGACCTCGGCCTCCGACGGAGGCTTTAAACTAACCGTCCATGGCTCGTCCTGCATCACCTGAGTAGGAAGAGGTCCGGGAGCAGGGGGCCAGCTGAACTGATGTTCAAAGTGTTCAGCCCAACGAGCTATACGGCGCTCCTTATTGTGTATCAGCGCACTCGCGCTGTCTCTGATTGTCTCACTGATGCCTGGTTTTCTCGGACCAGTGGTGCGGATAAGCTGGAAGAGCTTGCGGTAATTGCCTACTGCTCCTGCCTCCTCCATTTCTTGAGCCCGACTGGTCCACCAGGCTTCCTTGTCAGCACGTAGACTCCACTTTAGTTCACGCCTAATAGCCCGTCTGGTCACATTGTGTTCAGAACCAGCCGGGAGGTGTCTTCTAGCTTCCAACAGGTTCACGGACCTCTCGGATATCCAGTGACTGATGCGTTGACCTTTGATAGTGCCACAAGCAGATGCTCCTGCGTCGTGCATGGCGGCCGAGATCCTATTCCACTGAAGTTCAGTGTCATTAGGACAAGACAGCGAGAGTTCGCTATGCAGTGCTTCTTGATAAGCTTGCCTGACCGAGGGCTGGGACAATTTCTCCGTTGCCAATCGTATGGGACGCTTTGTGCGCCTTCCGGTAAAGTTCATGGAGAAACGACAGCGCACCAAGGCATGATCAGAGTCGACACAGGTACTCCAGTACGAGCGGCAATCCAGGATAGAACCATGCCACCTGTAACTTATGGCTATGTGGTCAATCTGGGTCCATCGCTGGCCAGCTACAGGTGGACGCCAAGTGGCACTTCGGCGCCCACTGTGTCTAAAAGCAGTGCTACTAAGAAACAACTGGTGCTCCGCACACAGTTGCAGCAGACGCTCGCCGTTGTCAGTCCGTTCGGAGTTAAGTCCATAATTACCACCCAGCTGAGCTTCTGAAGAGCTCCGACGCCCTACTTGTGCGTTCATATCCCCTGAAAGCACTATAATATCTGAACTAGTAGCACTGCGTAGTAGGGCGTTCAGTTCGTGATAGAAAGTGTCCTTGACTGCATTAGAACTGCAGTCGGTGGGAGCATAAACGGAAATCACAAACAAACAGCGTTTTGTTTTACTTCGCGAATTCACCTTAGCTGATGTCGTCAAACGGGCTGCACATAAACGGCTGTTCACCGGGATCCAATCAACCAACGATGACTCAGCCTTGCAGCTGAGAATGATACCTACACCAGCTTGACCCGTGAGTGCCGCATCGGCGTCTCCGGATGCGTGCAACCAATAACGAGAGGATAAGCCGGGTGCAGTCAATTCAATAACCCCGTTAGGGTCATTAATCCTAGTTTCGGACACACAACACACATCAACACCCAGTGTATCCAAGGTGCGTGCGAGTGCAGCCTGCTGACCTGTTTGTCTTAGAGTGCGGACGTTGAATGTCGCCATGGAAACGGGACGGCGTGGCCTTATAAGGGACTTTTGCCGATTGGCGTTCGATAGGTGCTGTGGGATGGTGGCTGCAGACGGTACTACTCCAGTAGCACTTGGGTTGCTGTCAATTAAGCTGGGAATTATAGAAGGAAGGTTAGTAATGGGGGCCGGGATGGGAGTAAAAGGTGGAAAAGAAAGAAGGGAGGTAGAGGGT